ATATCTTTCGGAGCTTTAGAGGTGTGCCTTATTTGGATTATCTAAGGTTCACACCTAATAATACAAACCACACCATAACATTAAACAATCTAAGTCAGGCGCACCTCTAAATTTTATCATAACATGTAATTTTGGTGTAAAATATTCTTAGGATTATCCAAAAATCTATTTTCATAACTAATTATATATTTTAAACTCCAAAAATGGTTAAAATCAAGTAGATATATAAATATTTGAAAATCTTAAAAATAGACGGTCTAGATAATATGTTGCAAGATGCACTATTTCTAGGCTCAAATTTTATTTTATTTTTTCAGATTCATATATCTCGATATTGAGATGATCAATTAGATGAATTTTCAATATTAAAACCACTTTTTTTTTTTTATAGATTTTTTAGATGCATCTATAATTCTACATTTTAAGGTTGGAACCTTATATAAACTTTTTCTTTTAAATAATACATGTATATATTTAAATGTTATTTTGAAAGGGTAGTTATACATGTATATATTTGGGTCGGGTCCAATCGGGTCAGGGTCAGGTTCAGGGTCCATATCTGTGTCCCGTAAATCCGGACCCCACCCGTTGCCACCTATTTCTCTATAATACTACTACCCTTTCCATTCGCAAAGAAACACTTATTTTAGCAAAAGACAAAAGTAACCATATCCTTTTTGGTCAAATATGCGCTTGATTGACCACTAAAATACAAGGAAAAAGTTTGACCACTAAAATACTAGGAAAAAGTTTATATAAGGTTACAACCTTGAAAATGTAGAACTACAGATGGACCTAAACAATCCATCGAAAAATGTTGTTTTAATGTTGAAAAAATCTTTAATTGATCATCTCGATATCGAGATGTATGAATATGAAAGAAAAAAATGATTTTGAATCCAAAAAATAGTGCATCTTGCAATACATTATCTAAACGGTCCATTTTCAAGATTTTCATATGTTTATAGATCTGCTTGATTTTAACCATTTGTAGAGTTTAAAATTTTATAATTAGATATAAAAATAGATTTTGAGATAATCCTAATAATTTTTTCTCCAAAATTACATGCTGTGATAAAATTTGGAGGTGCGCTTTAATTGGATTGTTCAAGGTTGCAACCTTATGGAAACCACACCCAAAATACAAACATACCTTCAATATTATAAAATTTGAAGTAAAGATCCCATATTTGATTTAAAAATTTAAACCAAAGAAAAAATAATATGGAGTGTAAAAAATATTATAAATAAGTTATCCTCAAAGACTGCCGTCCATTTGAGTCACCCCCAATATGAGTAAGGAAAAAGTTTAAAATTTTATAATTAAAGATGAAAATAAATTTTTAGATAATCTTAAGAATATTTTACATCAAAATTACATATTATGATAAAATTTGGAGGTGCATCTTAATTGCATTGTTTAAGGTTGCAACCTAAAAATCACACCCTTATTTAAATATTCTAACAAAAAATATGTAGTTATATTTATTTAAATATTATGTAAATATTATATATTAAATATTATTTATATAACAACACAATTACAGTCAAGTCCGGTTCTGGTTCACGTGGACCCAGATCTGGACTTGGACCCAGACCAAAATAGTGTTTGGGTCAACTAATTGGACCCAAACTTGACCTAAGGATCAATTCTTGGACCCATACCCAGGTCCATGTTGGATCCGGATGACGGGTCGGAGCTCATTCCACCTAGCGATCCTTGAATATTGCAAGGGAGAGAGAGAGGATAAAGATGGTTTACACTAAATAAATCTATTTATAATGGGGCCGTTGGCTTGAACTGGTCACCCACAAATTTTGTGCTGCTTGTCATTTCTATTTGGAGCCAGCTCGTCAGTTCTCCTGGCTTTTTATCAAAATAAAAAGCATCATAGAAACTGGGAAAAACCAGGTAGACAGAGACCAGTAACCCATCAATCCCGATCTGGCTTTAGTGGTTTTGAGTTAGGTCGACATCTTTTAAACACCAGTGATTCCATAATCTATGTTGCATATTCATACTTCATACGAATATAAACATGTTCCTTAACCATCCGATCCCAAGAACGGAGGGTTCTAAGATATCGTTCTTCCACTCTCAGCTCTTCAGAAATGTTACAGTTTTAGCATACTATCAATTTAACAATATACAATTGGCCCTATAAGGCAGGGCCCTGGTCCCTACAGGGCTAAATGGGACACCATACAAACAGCCCTATAGGGTAGGGCCATAGGGACTCAGGCAAGGCCCACATCCACCCTGTTGCCAGCCCTAAACCTGGGTTCATAGTTTTGTAGGATACGTACTCTTGTGGTATACTTCCCTTAATAAGACTGAGAGGAAAAGCGTTTTGGTATTTGCTTACGCAATCAAAAGAGCACACTTACTATATGGGCTCGTCCGTATAGTAAGTTGTGCCACCCATCTTCTAACAAGTTGGATGGTTGTGATTGACAGATGGACTTTCAATTACCACCATCCAATAAAGTAAGTTGGATTGTAATCGGCACAAGTTCATATGCGGGCTTGCAACAAGTTCATATGCTCCATATCAGTTTCTTCTAAACCAAAAACCTATGTTGCTGTCCCGGTCATTGTTCGCAAACTCGGTTGGTTCAAGTCAAAATCGGCCGGTTAGATCGGAACAGGACATTGGCCAGTTCCGGATTTGAATCCATTTTAAGATCTATTTTTTTCACTAATTTTCAACTTCATATGGATGTTAATTATGCTTTAAATATTTTTTTTATATTTTTTTATGTTTTAACACTTTTTTGACCAGTCAAAACTTATCCGGTTAGGCCGGTCGAATCAATCAGTTCATTGGTTACTTGAAACCAGCCGGTTTCCGAAGCTGGTTCGAATTTTCAAACGCTGCTCCGCATTCACCATCTTCTCCATAGGGTTAAGGACTAAAAAGACTAAGAAAGAACCTCCAAAAATGAGTATCTTTCGAAAATATTTATTTGGAGCGGAGAATCAAGAGCCTTCTTGGAGCGGAGAATCAAGCTCCAATCAATCAACTAAAATTAGATTTAAAGCAGGATAATCAAGAGCCTTCTTGGGAGGTTCACATCAAATCTTGATTAAAGAAGAATGATTTAGAGGCTTTTACAGTTTTTTTTTTTTTTTTTTGTGGACTCTTTATCCACTCATGCATGTGCCGCAACGGCTTAGGTGGACTAAGAAATGAGCAATTGTTTTTCTAATGGGAAAAGATGGGATTAGCTATTAACTCATATGAACATATGAACCCAATGATCCAGATTGAATCTGGGCTGATCTGTCGATCACCGATGTCCGGTAGTGCTTGAATTTTATTTTATTTTATACAAATCCAAACTACTTGAAATTTTAGGTGTGTCTTCTTCTCATCAAGACGCACTTAATAAAAATATAAAAAAAAATTATTCACAAAAAATAAAAATAGCCAAAATACCCCTGAAACTTTTCGAGGGTAGTTTGATCAATTTATTTTATGTAAAATATGTTTTTGATATTTTTTGAAGATTCACTTGTTTTTTATGAACACACACCTAAAATTTCAAATGATTTGGATTTGTAGAAAAAAAACTAAAATTCAAACACCACCGGACATCTGTGATCGTCAGATCAACCTAGATTCAATCTGAACCGTTGGGCTCATATGTTCATATGAGCTAATGGACTAATCCCATCTTTTCCCTTTTCTAATTTCCTCATTGCAATTGATGGTCCAAATCTAGGGCTAAAAAGCTGCATTGGAAATATCATGATTTTACCCTATTTTAAATTGATATACTTTATTGGATAATTCCAATGGAATTAAAAAAAAAGCAAATTGCCATATAGAACAAACTTAATAATTTAGAGGATAAAGAAAAGTTTCCTGTCCTTTTGGGATTTCTTAGCTGGAATCTGTGCATGTTCGTTTACAGATTCTTTGTTTGTTTTTATATAATATTTATTCACAAATTGTAATATATTTATCCAAGATACAATTTGGGCAAGTGGGTTTATATAAGGGAAAATTACGTATGTATTCGTTGTAGTTTATGTTATGATCAAAATACCAAATAATTTCTATTATTACTAGAATGTTCGCTTTTTTCACTTCATAACAAAAAAAATTAAAAAAGACTTTTTTACCCTTTTCAGTTTTTGAACAACCGAAAATAGACAAAAGCTTGGTATTTGCATTTTTATTTTCCGTTGTTGAACAAACGAAAATGTCTTGTTTTCGGTTGTTGAATAACCGAAAATAAGACTTCATATTCCAAAAGTTCGCTTGAATATCTCAACATCTGAAAATGTCTTATTTTCGGTTGTTAAACATCCGAAAATAGGACAAAAGCTTGGAATTTACATTCTTATTTTTGGTTGTTCAACATCCGAAAATGAGACATTTTCAGATTATGAACAACCGAAAATAAGATATTTTTGGATGTTGAATATCCGAAAATTAAACAATTTCAGATGTTGAACAACCAAAAATAGGTTTGCGCATTCCAAAAGCTTAAACGAGCCCCGCTATTTCGGTTGTTCAAGAACCGAAATTAGCTTATTTTTGGTTTTTGAACAACCGAAAATCCAGCTATTTTCAGTTGTTCAAAAACCAAAAAAAGATAAAAAAATCTTTTTGAAAAAATTTGTTATGAAGTGAAAAAAAAGGACAGTCCAGTAATGACGAAAACTATTTGGTATTTTAATAATAATGAAAACTATAATGGATATATATGTAATTTTCCCGTTTATATAACCTTTGTTTTTCCATCATTTTGAATACTCTATTGGGTTATAAAAAAAAAAAAAACTTCAAGTGAAGTTCATGGAAATGGATGGTCTACATTCACGGAAGTTGGCATCAGGAAAATCTGAACCGTCGCAGATCTTTCAAATGAGCAATTGTAATTGGTCCCCAGATCTTGATAAATGATTTCACCCATTCACTCCAACCGTATTTCGCCTTCTTGCAAATAATTAATAGGAAAAAAAATTCCATGAGAACAGAAAAGAGAAAAGGAATGGAGAAAGGAAAAGAAATATCTTCCATGTATTTTGGAGTCAGAGACCTCTGCATCTGAAGTACAGGTTCAAGAATCACATTTTGAGATCATGCAACTTCCATTTCTTGTAAGTGTCTTAAGTATCTATCGTCCCATATACAGTTCAATGACACCATGTCACACTCAATCTATCCAGCTCAAATATCATGACACAGTTACCATAAATATCAAATTTATCCAGTAGTAGTCCTACACCTACTATACCTCTGATATTTCATGTGCCATTTGCAAGCACATCACATGAGGCAAGTTGTGTAGATTCCATGTTATAGTCACCATTTCCAAATCAAATATCTTGCTATAGTTACCATAAATAGCAAATTTGTCTAATAATAATTGCTAATGAAGCTAGAACCTTTTAAATTCCAGCTTCAAATAAGTCCCAATATTAAACAAGTTCGGTGGTAGCATTGTAGAGCTTCCATTCCCCACTAATGGGTGTGTTTTGTTAATTCCACTGTACCAGTTTCCATTAAAAGTAGCTTTTCTCCATTAATGCAGGTCTATTTCAACAAAGTTGAACAAGATTTCTGAGATCTGGGTCATCGAATTTATGGTGAACTTTTCAGGTAGAGTTTTCATTGAAGGTCAAAGCCTGAAATAAGTTTCATACCCACTTCAAAGTTATAGTGTTCAGGTATCATTCATGGTAAGTTCTCTCTAATAACACTTTCCATAGCTCCATTCAGCCCATATTGATAAGACCCATTCTTTGTTCTTCCATCAATGGCGAGTTTTCCACTGTTAAAGCAATGTCATGTCCAAATTCTAGACTTCTTGACAGCTTCTAAGACTCCACTCTTATTACAGTTACCATTTCTGGAAACTTTTCTGTTACTTTTGCAACTCTTCTTCTCTGTTGCAGCTTCAAATCAGCAGAGCTTCACCTACAATGGCTTCCACAATTCCAATCTGAACTTAGAAGGAGCCTCATACATTCAACCTAATGGTATTTTAACCATAACCAATGACTCCACCAGACTCATAGGTCATGCCTACCACCCATTTCCTCTTCAATTCAAGAAAAACTCACTTTCCTCAAACAATTCTCGCCATTCTTTTAGCACCACCTTTGTCTTCACCATCTCTCCAAAATACCCTGATCTTGGTGGCCACGGTCTTGCTTTTTTTCTCTCTCCATACAAAAGTCTCCCCAACCCCAGCCGTTACCAATACTTAGGCCTCCCCAACTTCACTCTAACTACCGATGGTCTCCCTACTCGCTTGTTAGCTGTGGAGTTTGACATAGTCCAAAATGATGACGTTTTTGACATAAACGATAATCATGTTGGTATAGACATTAACAGTTTGATCTCAAATGTATCAGCCCCCGCATTTTATTACGGCTCTGGTGAGAGTGAGAAGTCCCTGATGAATCTAAAGAATATAAATGGAGTCCAAGCTTGGGTAGAGTATAGTCATGGAGAAAAGAGGATCAATGTAACAATTGCACCATTTGGGGTTGTGAAGCCTAGAAAGCCATTACTGTCTTTACCAGTTGATATTTCTCTAATTGTAGATGACTTAGGTTATGTTGGATTCTCAGCTGCTACTGGTTTGATCTCGGCTAACCATGAGGTTTATGGGTGGAGTTTTCAGCTTGATGGGAGGGCTAATGATTTGGCCCATTCTGAGCTTCCTCGGTTGAAACGGACCCCAAACATAGTGAGAAGTAGTGGGTTTGTAATTGGGATCACAATCACTTCTTTTACTCTTGTTTTCGTGGTATTCATGGGGGCCATGCACATATGGAAAAGAGAGAGAAACAGCGAGACGATAGAAGATTGGGAGAGGGAATGTGGCGCGCGAAGGTTCACTTACACCGAGCTCTCGGCTGCCACAAATGGGTTTAGAGAGAGAGACATGATAGGGATTGGAGGCTTTGGAAGGGTTTACAGAGGAGTATTGCCAAGCTCTGGCCTAGACGTTGCAATAAAGAGATTATCTGGTGATTCAATGCAAGGAGAGAGAGAGTTCATAGCTGAGGTAACAAGTGTAGGAAGGCTTAGGCACCGAAACCTCATCCAACTCCATGGATGGTGCAAAAGAAAAGGAGAGCTCCTCTTAGTCTATGACTATGTCTCTAACGGTAGCCTCGACAATCTCTTATTTGACAACAAAGACACAGTTTTGCCATGGGAAACGAGATACCAAATACTAATTGGGGCAGCTAAAGGCTTGTTATATCTCCATGAAGAGTGTGAACAAAGAGTGGTTCATAGAGATGTCAAGGCCAGCAATATATTGATAGATTCCGACCTTAACCCTAAATTGGGTGACTTTGGGTTAGCTAGAACTTATGTACATGGAGTTAATTCAAGCACAACAAGAATTGTGGGTACATTAGGCTATCTAGCACCTGAGCTCACTAGAACCGGTAAGGCCACAACAAGCACTGATGTGTTTGGTTTTGGAGCTGTTATGCTTGAAGTGGCTTGTGGTAGGAGGCCTATTGAGCCCGAAAAGTGCAATCGCGAGCTTGTTTTGGTTGATTGGATTCGAGAGCTTCACTGCAGAGGAACCCTTTTAGAGGCAGCTGATCCAAAATTAGATGTGTTTGAACCAGAAGGAATGGAGCTTGTTCTCAAGATTGGGTTGCTTTGTTCTCATCCTCTTCCTGGTTATAGGCCTAGCATGAGACGAGTGGTTCAGTTTTTATTGGGTGAAGCTACTCTTCCTGAGCTTCCACCTGATGTTCATCTAGAGCATCCATCTCTAGTGGCCGAATTCTCAGACGGTTTTGTTAGTTCTGATCCTTCTTCATCTCAAGTGACCTCTTCCAAGAGTACTTCGAGCTTCTCGAGTGTTGATAAGGTAGGTTCGAGTGCCCCTTCTACCAGATCTACATTCTGAGAGAGAGAGAGAGAGAGAGAGAGAGAGATGATTTTGGTGTATTTTTTAGTCAGGAATCTCTTGAGTCAGGAATCTTCATTCAAATGGAAGGATTGAGATTGAATCCTTAGATGAATTCATAGGTTTGGATCTTCTTCATGAAGAATGACCATTTCGAAGTGTACCTCATCTCAAAACTTCGAATGGGGCATTTGTACCCCTTTTCTTAAAATTATGCCCTTATGATGGCTAGGGAGATGAAGACTCCTGGTTATGAAATGAATAACACAGAATGGCAAGAGAGATGGACCTTCTTCCATAAAAATGAGTTTGTTGACAGACTCTCAAAGTAGAGATTACTGTATTTCTGTATTTCTCTTGCTTGTACTATCGGATTAAGATAAACAATCTGTTTTTATGCTCCTCACTCTGGAAACCTGTTTTGTTCTTTTCATTGCTGAAGGCTAAGAAGACACAGAAATCTTGAGGAAAGTAGCCTGAAATTGGTGGAGAAAGAAGCACAAAACTTATGCATTGCAAGCTGAATTGAATCCTTTTCTCTGTATGTAAAAATCAGGTTTTTTTTTCCATAATCAATACTTCCAATTTTTGCATGTTACCTTGGAACTACAGAGTAATCTTGGCCCATTAAGCCATTGTTTTAAAAACCAAATATGGTTCCAGGTAGCGTGGTATAAAACCTTTCTCAAAAATTCAACCAATGCCGAGGCAACCGCCCAATAATCTCAACAAGAGCCTTTTCTCTATCATAGCTGAACTTGCAAGAAAATGTTATTCAACCTCCTTCCTCTCTCATCTCCTTATTCAGTATCTCTAGTATCCAATATACTTCAGTCCTGTGAGGATGACCCATATCCTGAGCCACAAAACCATGCACCTTGTTTCTCATTCTTATCCAACTACATCCAGGCTCCTTCTTAAGGCCTCTCTCTCTAATCATTTTCCTTATTTCTCTTGCTTCCTCCAGCTTACCAGTTTTGGTATAAATCTTAGCCAAAAGCACATACCACCCAGCTATATCCTCTGGTTCTAAAGCTATGAGCTTTTGGGCCGACAATTTACCGATAGCTGCGTCTCCATGAATTAAACAAGCACCAAGAAGAGTACCCCAAGCCACGCAATTTGCCATAAATGGCATATTTTGCAGAAGCTCAAGTGCTTCATTCAATCTCCCAGCTCTTCCAAGAAGATCAATCATACATGTATAGTGATCCAAATTTGGCTCAATTCCATGGTCATTAGCCATTGAATTGAAATATTTGAACCCCTCATTAACAAGGCCACCATGACTGCAAGCAGTGAGAATTCCAGTGAAAGTGTTGTGATTAGCTATATGTAACACTTTATCTGCAACTGTCAGGGCTTTCTTAGCAAACCCATTTTGCCCGAGGCCCAAAATAAATGAATTCCATGTCACTATATCTCTCTCTAACATCTCTTGGAAAACGTTTTCAGATTCTTCAATCAAGCCACATCGTGAATACATTGAAATGAATGCATTTCCTATAAAAACATTCCTGTGATAAAGCCCAAACTTTACAGTGTGGGTGTGAATCTGAGAACCCAGCTCCAAAGCAGTCAACGTTGTAGAGAGGGAGATAACAATGGAGTAAGTAGATGGGTTTGGCTTCAATTCGGGCCACGACTGAGCTAAAGAGAGAAAGCACTCGAGAGCTTCTCCAATTCGATCATTGTCTGCAAGTCCTTGGATAATTATATTCCATGATAGCGTATCTCTATTTTCCATTTTAGAAAACAAATGCATGGCCTTGTCAATGTTTAGCTGGCAAGCATAGCCAGCCATGAGTGTGTTCCATGAACCCAAATCCTTTTTCTCTCTCATCCCATTGAATATCTTCTCTGCATCAACTAATTCACCCAATTTAGCATAAAAATTCATCAAAGAATTCTGCACAAAAACATGGCCCAAATATCCATCAAAACCAAACTTAATCATCGTGCCATGGATTTGCTTTCCAAGTGAGAGAAACAGCAGAATCGAACATGATTTTAGCACCAAATTGAAGGTAAAAGAATTGGGTTTTATGTTAAAAGAGTAGAATTCTCCATAGTTCAGCAAAAAGAGCTTCAACGCTTCAAAATTCTGGTCATTTTGCACATAACCCGTTATCATCGCAGTCCATGATATGACACTCTGTTCACGAAAGGGAATCGAATAAAACACTGTTCGAGCCCTTTCAACAAAACCCAATCTAGAAAAACCGGCAATCATGGTGCAAAAAGTCGCCGGGTTCTTCTGGGGCATCTCATCAAACAATTTAGTTGCAGATTCTAAACGCCCACAATTTAGATACGCAGATAACATGGCATTAAAAGAAACCAAATTTTTCTCAGGGATTTCATTGAAGAGTTTATTGGCACTGTGAATTTCACCACTTTTCCCATAGCCAGAGATCATAGTGCACCATGAGACTGCGTTTCTCTCAGGCATTTGTTCGAAGAGCTCGCGAGCTTCTTTCAGGGAAGAGCTTCGGCAATATGAGTTAAGAAGCCGGTTGAAAAAGCATATGTCTCTCTTGTGCATCTCATGAATGAGAGAGAGAGAGAGAGAGAGAGAGAGAGAGAGAGAGAGAGAGAGATTGTAGGTGATTCTATAGCCAGTGAGATGATCAGAAGTCCAGAGTGAGCAGAGATACAGGAGTTACTTTAAGTTTCTACAAAAATGAATAATATTGAATATGGAAATTATGTAGGAATAAGTTTATATAAGGGTGTAACACCAAAATGTAGAATTAATAAAGGAAAAAGTTTATATAGAGCCAAGGCTCTAAACAATCAAATTTGAGCCTACATAAAAAATTTTAGTTTTGATGCCCAAATATCTTCAAATTGATCATCTCCACATCAAGATGCATAGACATGAGAAAAAAAGGATTTTAAGTTTTGAAAATAGTGTATTTTATAACACATGTTTTATTCAAGATTTTTAAATTTTCATAGATCTATTGATCTATAGTATTTTTTAAGCTTTAAACTTTATAAATAAAAATTAAAATATATTTTAAAGCTATCACAAAGATTTAAGAAACCACATTTCTCAACACTATTTGAAGGTAGGCTCTAATTTGATTGTTTAGAGCCGAGGCTCTGTACAAACCGTACCCATTAATTAATGAATATCTTATATATTTTGTTAAATTTTAAAACATCTTCAATATTATTATGGTGGGAACCGTTTCAGCCGCAACGATGATTTTTTAACCTGGAGATTATATTTTACGTTGATTTTCCTTTTGTTTTCTTAAGAAAAAAAATCTAGTAGTCCAATTTTATGTTATTTGTATTGGCGAGATTTGTACAAGGTGTCCGCTTTATACTATACAAGTAAAGCATACATCAAAATTTAACCTGGAGAAGTAGTTTTGATGTTGGAAGCCCTAAAGAAGAAGTAGTTTTGTTTTTGGAAACCCTAAAGAAGTAGTTCAAGTAGATCTATAGGCGCCTGAAAATTTTAAAAATAGAAAACATTCATAACTTGTTAAAAGATGTACTATTTTTAAGACTTGGAACTCGATTTCTTTTTATATCCATACATCAGATGATCAATTGAAAGGTTTTTCAACTTAGGAATATTTTTTCTATTAGATTTTTGAGATACACCTTTATGTGGTTGAGAGTGATAGTGATTTCCTTATAACAATGGTAAATAGGTTCATATATTGTACAATCCCAAAGTTTGTATAAGTTAGTATAGAGATTGTATACTATGAGATCATTTACTTTTGTTATAAGGAAGTCATATTTACTCCTTGCAATTAGATGTCAAATCAGATGATTTGGTGTGTATCATGAAGTTCAATTTCTTTTTTGGAACTTAAAGTTTAGTGAATAGGACCATTTACAACCACCCAATTTAAAATATGACGAACAAGGATAACTGAGACCTCTTTGTACTAAAACTAATGGTCTATCTGTATGCTTTTCCATAAACTTTTCCCTTTTTGTATATATCAAAGTGAGCTCAAACTATGGGTGTCCATATTTCTCATTATATTACATTTATAAGAATTTATAAATATATATAATTTTAAATAAATAAAATCAGAAAAATATATGGATATTTTTTGTTATTTTTATTTTTTATAGGATATTTTGGTTTTTTTATTTATATACGCATGTATGTGAGAAATATAAACACACAAAATTTGAGCTTATTCAGATGTAAAGAAAAAAGATAATATATAAATATAAAATACTAATAATTTTTTAAAATTTTGAAAAATATAAGAGATGTTTATTTAAAGGGAAAGTATATAATAAAATCATTTACTTTTGGTACAAGGTGGTCACAAAGAATCTTGACTATTTGATGTGAAATTGGGTAGTTGCATTTGTTTCATTGACTAAGCTCAAAGTTCAAAATAAAATTTTCTTGAACTTTGTGATATACCCAAGCTATCATATCACATTGGATAGTTAATCTATAGGTTGAAAAAGTTACATCCCCAAAATTTGGAGTCCTAAAAGTAATCTTAGATGGGATTTTACTTAAGGGAGTAAATGAACAAAATTTGGCTTTAATTGTAGTGTTTTTAATATATTTTTAAATCATAAATACTTTGGGAACACAACTTTAAGAGAAACCTCCGACATGAATGATGTTGGCGATATACATTCACAGGTTAAAATATCTGAAACAAAAGAAGCTTTGAGAAATATGAAGATATGAAAGGCTTTATGACTAGATGGTATCCTAATAGAGGTTCCAAAGTGAATGGGAGATATTAGCATACATTTTGGCTGAGTTGTTAAACAAGATATTAATAACAAAAAAACAAAATCCAAACGAATAAAGAAAAGTATTGTAATACTTATTTACAAGAACAAATGACACATACAAAATTATACGAACCATCGAATGATCACAATTATAAGGGAGATAATGATTGAGCAACGATTGAGACATGAAACAAGTGCACTAGAAAATCAGTTTGGTTTTACGCCAGAGAAATCAACAATTGATGCTATTTGCCTACTTAGGCAAGTGATTGAGAAGTTTAAAGAGAAGAGAAGAGACCTCCACATGGTCTTTCTTGTTTTAGAGAAAGTATATGATAGTGTACCTATAGAGATAATTTGGTGGGTGTTGAAAAGAATGATTCTCTAGATGATATATTAACATGGAGATATCTCTTTGTTTTGGTTATAGATTAGTTAACTAGACATCTACATGATGAAGTACTATAGTGCAAGTTATTCGCTAGTGACATTTTTTTATCAATGAGACTAGAGGCGGTAGGTTAACACAAAGTTAGAACTTTGGAGGGATGTTGTAGAATCTAAAAGTTTTAAAATAAGTCAATCTAAGACAGAATATATGAAAAACAAGTTTAGTAATAATTGTAGAGGAAGACAGATTCTACAATACCGGAACAATTCACTTCTCAATTAGTGTAACAATGTCACACAAGCCCAAGACTCAACCAAATAGAAAGAAGAAGAATAACCAAGATGAAGAGGAAGAAAAACATTAATTAAAGAAAAGCATGGGGTACACAAAGGCATTACAATCTTGACACCCAAGATTAACCTTGAAATATACGGCCCAATTTTCCCATCATACCTGTCTTTAAATAGAGGTTCTTACAACCACATTTACTATAAATAACTACTAACTTACAACAATAACTACTAACCACCTAATAGTTTCATAACTTCTTATTGAACAAACTTACAAATACAATCATACTACATTAGTTATAATAAAATAAAATAAAGATTAATACAATTTCTAGAAAATATACTTTAACAATTTTAACACTCTCCCTGAAAGTGATTTTCTAAAGAAGAGTCAATGACTGGCTCTTAACTGTAAGTGTGCCATCTCTCCCTAAAATAAAAGATCCAGCTCTTTGACAAGCCATTAAGGAGATTCTCAAATTCCACCAAAGATGATTGTGTAGCCCACACTTGAATAGAAATAATGTAACAATCCTAAAATTTC